TAAGATCATGAATAACAATGATTTTGTATCCTGCAACTTCGCTGAATTAATTTATTAGCTCTACTAATTTTTTACATGTCCTACATTTTAGGGTTTTCTATGTATAAGACTGTGTCATCTGTGAATAGAAATTACTTTGTCCTTTCAAATTTGAATGTCTTTTGTTTATTTTTCTCAACTACATGCTCTGGCTAGAACTTCCAGTATAATGTTGAATAAAAGTTGTAAAAGTGATTATCCCTGACTTACTCTTGATATTAGTGGGGGAAAACTTTCAATCTTTCACTACTATAATGTTACCTATGGGCTTTTCATATACATCCTTTATTATGCTGAGGAAATTCCCTTTTATCTCTTGCTTGCTGAGAGTGTTTATTAAGAAAGGATGTTGGATATTGTCAAATGCTTTTTCTGTAACAATCGAGAGGGTGATGTTATTTTTTTTTTGTTCTTGCATTCTGTTAATGTGGTGTACTATACAAATTGATTTTCACATGCTGAACCACCCTTAGGATTAATCCCACATGGCCATGATATATAATCTTTTTACTCTGCTGCTGGGTTTGGTTTGGTGGTATTTTTGTACCTTATATTCTGAGGATTACTAATCTATAGTTTTCTTTTTGCATGATGTTTTTGTCTGGCTTTGGTATCAGAGTAATATTAGCCTTACGGGATAGATGAAAAATGTTCTTCAAGTTTTTGGAAGAGTTTGAGAAAGTTGTGTTAATTCTTTAAATGTTTGGTAGAATTCACCAGTGGAGCTGTCAAGTCCTAAACTTTTCTTTGTTAGGAGATTTTCTTATTACAAACTCAATCTCCTTACTTGCTATATGTTTATTTAGATATTCTATTTCATCTTAAGGAAGTATTGGTAATTTCTGTTTTTAGTAATTTTTCTATTGCATCTAGCTTACCTAATAATTTGGTGGCATACACATTACAATTGGCAGTATTTTCTTATAATTCTTTTTATTTCAGTAAGCTTACTGTAATGTCCCTACACAAAATCAGCTGTATTTTCTACACTGTGAATGAACAATCCAAAAAGGAAATTAAGAAAACAGTTCCACTAGCATGACAAGGAATAATTAGGAATAAATTTAACTGAAGAGGCACAAGACTGTACACTGAAAACTGAGACACTGATAAAATAAAGACTGAAAAAAATGGAAATATACCCCATGTTCATGGATTGAAAGTTTTAATACTGTTATAATCCCCCAAAGTAACCTACAAATTCACTATCCTATCAAAATTCTTTTGAAAGAAAAGGAGATTTTTTTTTTGCAGAAATGAAAATGCAGATCCTAAAAATAACATGGAATTGCAAGAAACCCCAAATAACCCAAACAACCTTCTGAAAGAACAAAGTTGAAGACTCACACTTCCCAATTTCAAAACTTACTATAAAGCTATAGTAATCAAAACAGTGTGGTACTGGTATAGGATAGACATATAGATTAAGGGAACAAAACTAAAAGTCCAGGAATAAACACATACTCCTATACTCAAATGATTTTCAACAAAGATGCCAAGATCATCAAATGGAGAAAAAATATCTCATTAATAAATAGTGGTGAGACAACTGGATATCCAAGGGAAAAAAAATTGAAGGTGGGCTTATACTTACACCATATACAAAAGCTAACTCAAAATGTGAAAAAATACCTAAATATAAGAGCTAAAACTCAAACTCATAGAAGTAAATCTCCATGACTTGAGATTTGGCAATGATTTCTTACATATGACATCAAAACCATGAGCAACAAAAGAAAAAAATAGACTTTATCAAATTTTTTAAAATTTGTACAGATAAGTACACTATCAAGAGAATGAAAAGAAACCCCAGTTATAGGAGAAAATATGTGTAAATTATATATCTTATAAGTATATATCTGATAAGAGCCTTGAATCATATATCTGATAAAGGTCTAATACATAGATCTCAAATACTTTATATATACCTAAGTGTGTGTGTATGGAGGGGAAGAAAGGAAGTGAGCACGGGGACAGGGGAGGGGAGTGGCAGAGAGAAAAAGAATTGAAAGTCTAGTATCCAGAACTTTTATAACTCAATCACAAAAAGAAAATAACCCAATTAAAATATGGTCAAGGAACTTGGGTAGACCTTCTTCCAAAGAAAAAATATAAATGGTCAACAAGCACAGAAAAAGACACTCAATATCATTAGACAATAGAGAAATGAAAATCAAAATCACAGTGAGATACCATTTACACCCACTGGAATGGCTGTAATAAAAAAATATCCTAACAAGGATGTGAAGAAATTGGAACCCTCACACACTGCTACTAAGAACGTAAAATGGTATAGCCACTGTGGAAAACAGTTTGGCAGTTCCTCAAAAAGTTAAAAGTAGAATTACCATGGGACCTGGCAAGTCCATTCCCAGGTATATATCCAAGACATGATAATAGGTGTTCAAACTCATACTTTCCACAAATATTCACAGCAACATTATTCATAACAGCCAAAAGGTTTACCCCAAATGCCCAACTGAGAGATGAACAAATGTAACATATCCATACAAGAAAATATCATTTAGCCATAAAAAGGAATGAAAAATGAAGTACTGATACATGCTACCCATGGATAAACCTTGAAAATCTTATGGTTAAGTGAAAGGAGTCAGACACAAAAGGTCACATATCGTATAATTCCAATTAGAGGAGATATCCAGAATAAGTATATCTATTAAGACAAAAAGTAGATCAGAGTTTGTCAGTGGCTGGGCAGAGGGGAGAATGGAAAATGACTACTTAAGGGGTATGAGGTTCCTCTTGGGATTATAAAAATGTTCTGGAACTAGATAGTGGTGATGTTTGTACACTACTATACAAAAACCACCAAATTATACATTTTAAAATGACTTACTTCAATTAAAAAAGGAGAAAGAAAGGGCACCTAGATGGCTAAGTCGGTTTAGTCAGCCAGCTCTTGATTTAAACTTAGGTTATGGTCTCAGGGTCGTGAGATGGAGCCCCACATCAGGCTCCATGCTCAGTGCTCAGCACAGAGTCTACTTGAAATTCTTTCCTGCTTCCCTTCCCTCCCCCTCTGCTCCTCCCCTGGTGGAAGGGAGGAAGGGAGGAAGGGAGGAAGGGAGGAAGGGAGGGAGGGAGGGAGGGAGGGAGGAAGGAAGGAAGGAAGGAAGGAAGGAAGGAAGGAAGGAAGGAAGGAAGGAGAAGGAAGGAAAGAAAAGGAAGGAAGGGAGGGAGGGAGAGAAGGAGGAAATTAAATAAAAATTAAAAGGAGAAAGTTGGGATCCCTGGATGGCTCAGCGGTTTAGCACCTGCCTTTGGCCCAGGGCGTGATCCTGGAGACCCGGGATCGAATCCCACGTCAGGCTCCTGGTGCATGGAGACTGCTTCTCCCTCTGCCTATGTCTCTGCCTCTCTCTCTGTGTGTGTGTGACTATCATAAAAATAAATAAATAAATAAATAGATAGATAGATAGATAGATAGATAGATAAATAAATAAATAAATAAATAAATAAATAAATAAATAAATAAATAAATAAATAAATGGAGAAAGCAACCAAAGAACTGCAAAGGGGTATCCCATGATAAGAGTAAAAGTATATTCCAGGACAACAGTACTGAAGAGTAAGCAGTCTATACTGGAAAAGGATCATGAAGGATTCTGAAAGAAAACCCTTCTTGGGAATACCAACTGATATATTTGTGCATAAGAAAAATATTATAGGTAAGTGTGACAGAGTTCTTGGAGCACTTAAGGAAAAAAGTTAACAGCAGTTACATAGAAAAACAACATGAACATTAGCTCCAAGAAAAAGAATGGATTGTCTGAAACAGATATGCACCTGTTGGCTAAGCAACTGTATTTACATTGTCTTATAATATAAAGAGTGGTAATGCTTTAACTGAAATTTGTGAAATAACTATATGGTAGAGAGGGAAGACAGAAGGGTGAAGAAGTGAGGCAACTGACGTAGAAGACATAAATTCTCATTTTCCAAAACAGGCTGCCAATATCAAAAAATAAAGCTGGAAACAATTTAAACATTTTACTTAGAAATAGTTAAATACTAGAAGAAAAAGCTAACATAGTACTTTCATGACTTTTAAATTATATAGACTGACAAAAATCTAGAAGATAAATTAATAAATAATTCTTATTTTATTAAAAACTAGCCGGTAGGAGAGACTACTGGTTATCCCCAAGAGCAGCAGTTTTTCCCTTCTGTTTCAGCAACAGAATTAGCAGGCTACACAGCTAAAGATTACATTTTCCAGTCTGCTTCATATGGGATGACTAAGTTCTGGTCTATGACTTATTAAGTGAAAGTGATATATGCTACTTACAGGTCATACTTTTAAGGAGAACTACCTCTCCCTTTTACGTCTTTCCTGATGGCTAGACAGGGAATATAGTGGCTGAAGGAAAGGCATTCATCTTGGGCAGAGATAGAAGCCATACATTAAAGATGGCAAAGCTGGGCAGCCTGGGTGGCTCAGCGGTTTACCACCGCCTTCAGCCCAGGGCCTGGGCCTGGAGACCTGGGATTGAGTCGCGCGTCAGGTTCCTTGCGTGGGGCCTGCTTCTCCCTCTGCCTGTGTCTCTGCCTCTCTCTCTCTCTCTGTGTGTGTGTGTGTGTGTGTGTGTGTCTCTCATGAATAAATAAATAAAATCTTTAAAAAATAAATAAAAATAATAAAGATGGCAAAGCAATACGATTGAGTCCAGTAACATTTCACCATAGGCAGAATGAATACACCAGCCCAATTATGAGCTGTTATAGAATATACAGAAATAAAATTCTATCTTGTTCAAGCCTTGTTGTTATGGTTTCTTCTCTAAAGCAGTCATATTTACCTATAGCATTTCTAATATAGACAAAAATCAACCAAAGGAATATGATAAAATTTATGTACATAAGGTTTGCAACTAAGCCATTATTAAATAGGAATGTTAAGACTCCCTTATGAAATTTAGGAATTATGGTAAAAAATGTACCTTTTTTAACTGGAGACTGATGCTGCTGTTGTTCATTATGACCTTGAGTAAAGGCTTGCATTCCATTCGTCTTACACTATTAAAAGAAAAAAATATATACTTTTTAACTGGCTTAAAAATTTTATATAACTTTTTTTTTATCATCCAAAACTATTTTCCTAATCAATCAAAGTATTAGTCAAAACATATTTCTGGACTAAAGGATAAGCAATCGTGTAAGAGAATGCTTATTAAAAATAAGCAAAAGAAAAAATCTTTCAAAATATATTAACCTGTATCTTTAACTATTTTGTCATGATTTTTTTTAACTAACTCCCCTTCTGATTCCATGGTCACTGAGAAGTACCCTGATTATAATTTAATCTCCCTAGTGCATTTAATAAACTACTGAAACCAATAAGAAAATATCATAGGCACATGACAGTAAGATTTCTCATGATAAAATAATGCGTTCTCTGATTTTATAAATCAGTTTCACAAATTTGGTCAATACAATCTATCCTTCAGATAATCCCTTACGCTGACAAAAATCAGTTTGCAAATAGCCATACTCTGAACCACGGTAATTCATTAAGGTAGGTTTCTCTGAAGATATCTATCCTGAAAAATAAACATCTCTGCTCTATCAATCACGGTAGTAACAAGTTATAGCTCATTCCTTAAACATTTGCAAATTCTACCAAGGCAACTCTGCATGAAGATTAATTATCTAACCCTATGACACAATGAAGAGTAATGAGATAACTCTATAATACTGAATCATCAAAATAAGTTATCAGAAAAAAATTAAATTTTAGCAAAATTTTTAAGTAGAGGTAGAAAAATATGAAAATGCCAAAGATCTTCATTGTCCAAAGTTTTTCTTCCCATTAGATTTAATAAACAATAATATTAACTATATAGTCCCTTCTAAAAATTTTTAAATTTAAAAATTTAAAGTGTGCAAAGGCACACTTCACTGACACTAAAATGCAAGACCTAAAATCAAACTCAAAAGTAAATTATAATCTGAAAAAAACATTAAGAAATAATCTATTGGGATCCCTGGGTGGCGCAGCGGTTTGGCTCCTGCCTTTGGCCCAGGGCGCGATCCTGGAGACCCCGGATCGAATCCCACGTCGGGCTCCCGGGGCATGGAGCCTGCTTCTCCCTCTGCCTGTGTCTCTGCCTCTCTCTCTCTCTCTCTCTCTCTCTCTCTCTCTCTCTCTCTGTGACTATCATAAATAAATAAAAATAAAAATAAAAAAATCTATTTTGGGATCCCTGGGTGGCTCAGCAGTTTAGCGCCTGCCTTTGCCCCCGAGTGTGATCCTGGAGACCCGGGATCGAGTCCCACATCGGGCTCCCTGTGTGGAGCCTGCTTCTCCCTCTGCCTGGGTCTCTGCCTCTCTCTCTCTCATTCTCTCTCTGTGTCTCTCATGTATAAATAATATCTTTAGGGATCCCTGGGTGGCGCAGCGGTTTGGCGCCTGCATTTGGCCCAGGGCGCGATCCTGGAAACCCGGGATCGAATCCCACATCGGGCTCCCGGTACATGGAGCCTGCTTCTCCCTCTGCCTGTGTCTCTGCCTCTCTCTCTCTGTATGTCTATCATAAATAAATTTAAAAAATTAAAAAATTGTTTAAAAAATAAATAAGTAAATAAATAAATAAATAATATCTTTAGAAAAAAATAATAATCTATTTTTAAAATAGTATCTAGGGGTACCCAGGTGGCTCAGCCGGTTAAGCATCTGCCTTTGGCTCAGGTCACGATCCCAGGGTCCTGGGATTAAGCCCTGCATTGGGGTCCCTGCTGAGAAGGGAGCCTGCTTCTCCCTCTCCCCCTACTCATGCTCTCTCTTGCTCTCTCTCTCTCTCTCTCTCTCTCACAAATAAATAAATAAGATCTTTATTTTTTTTTAAATTTTTTATTTATTTATTTATGATAGTCACAGAGAGAGAGAGAGAGAGAGAGAGAGAGAGAGAGGGGCAGAGACACAGGCAGAGGGAGAAGCAGGCTCCATGCACCGGGAGCCCGATGTGGGATTCGATCCCGGGTCTCCAGGACCGCGCCCTGGGCCAAAGGCAGGCGCCAAACCGCTGAGCCACCCAGGGATCCCAATAAGATCTTTAAAAACATAGTATCCAAAAGAAGAAAATACTTAGGAATAAATTTAACCAAGGTGGTGAAATAGTTGCACATGGAAAACATTAAGATACTAAAGAAATTAAAGATGGCATAAATAACTAGACGATATTCTATGTTCATAGACTGAAAGAATACTGTTAAAATGTCCTTAACTATCTACAATGATCTACAGATTCAATGCAATCCTTCCAAAATTCAAATAGTATTTTTTTATAGCTAAAGCCATCCTAAAATTCATATGGAAAAACCCTAAAACACCATGAGCAGTCAAAGTAATCTTGAGTAAGAAGAAAGCTGTAGCCATCACACTTCCTGATTTTAAACTATGCTACAAAGCTAAATAATCAAAACATTACAATAATGGCATAAAAAACAAACAATGGGACACCTGGCTTGATCTCGGGGTTGTGAATTCGAGCCCCATGTTGGGTATAGAGATTACTTAAAAATAAAATCTTTTTTTTTTTTTAAAGAAGACACAACCTAGAAATAGACCCACACATATATTCAACTAATCTCTGACAAGGGAACCAAGAATACACAATGGAGAAGGGATAGTCTCTTCTAAAAATAGTACTGGGAAAACTGGATATTCAAATACAAAAGAATGAAATTGGATCCTTAGCTTATACACAAAAAATAAACTGAAAATAGATCAAAACCAAATATAAGACCATAAAAACCATCAAAGAAAACATATGGAAAATGCTCAACACTGGTCTTGGAAATGATTTTTGGGGTATGACATCACAAGCACAAGCAACAAAACTAAAAAATAAATAAGTGGGACTACATCAAACTAAAACAGTACAGCAAAAGGAGCAAACAACAAAATGAAACAGAAACCTACTGAATGGGAGAAAATATCTGCCAATCATACTTCTAATAAGGGGTTAGTATCCAAAATATCAAGGTCTCATATAACGCAATAGCAAAATGATTTACAAATAGGCAGAGGACTTGAATAAACATTTTTCCAAAGAAAACATACAAATGGCCAAGTGGTACATGAAAAGATGCTCAACATTGCTAAATCATCAGGGTAATGCAAATCAAAATGACAGTGAGATATCCCTCACACCTATTAGGAAGGCTATTACCAAAAAGACGAGATAACTGTTGCAAAAATGGGGAAGGGGAGGGATTCTTGTACAATGTTGGTAGGAATGAAGATTGGTTCAGCCATTTTGGAAAACAGTATGGAAGTTCCTCAAAAAATTAAAAGTAGAACTACCAAAAGACCCAGCAATCCCAGTTCTGGGTATATATCCAAAGGAAATGAAATCACTGTCTTGAAGACTGTACATTCCCATGTTCATTCACTGGAGTATTATTAGCCAAGATAAGGAAATAACTTACATATCCATCAACAGATGAATGGATAAGCAAAATGTGATAGTGATAGATGAAAAATTTACAAATAGAATATTATTCAACCATAAAAAAGGAAAATCCTGCCATATGTTACAACATGGATGAACCTGGAAGACATTATACTAAGTGAAATAAACCAGACACAAAGACAAACATTGTATGATCTCATTTATATATGAAATGTTAAAAAAATCAAACTCACAGAATTAGAAAATAGAATGGTGAGTGCCAGGGGCTAAGGATAGTGGAAATGGGGAGATGCTGGTCAAAAAATACAAATTTTCAATTACAAAATAAATAAGTTCTGGAGATCTATTACACAGCATGGTGATTATAAATAATATTGTACTATATACTTGAAATGTCCTAAGATCTTAAGTGCCCTCCCACTCCCCCACAAATTTGGTAACTATGTGAAGTGATGAATGTATTAATTAACTTAATTGTTATAATCATATCACAAAGTATATATGCATAAATGATCAAGTTATATACTTTTATTAAAAAATCATGTTGTATAGCCTAACTATATTCAATTTTTGTCAATTATACCTCAAGAAATCTGGAAAAAATTATACTTTGTCATTTCAGCATATATTAGCAAAAATATATAAAAATATATAAATATATAAAATACTGATTATTTCAAATCTTTCATAGCATGTAAGAAAGTACATCTACCAAAATTTTATATTTTTTTCAATTATATCTTATAATAAAATCATATATAATCTTACAAATTTAACAATCTCATATAATCTAATCAATAAAGCTGGAGAATTCCATAATAAAGATATGCAGAAAGTGTGATGGAAAGAATGAGCAAGAGTATCAAACTTGGCTTAAAAACGTCAGGAAAGGCTTTACATGATGCATAACACTCAGAGGATCAGTAGCTAGGCTGGCTTGACTAGTAAAAAAATGAATGTTTATGGAAGAAAAGAGCAGCTTTGTGTTGGGATGCATGGGGTAATACTGCTAGTTTAGGGAATGGAAAATCAAATAGGCTTAAATAAAGCAAAAGAAACTGTAGGTCTTTTTTTTTCCAAGTCAAGGTTCTTTGCAATTTATGGTACAATACCCAATATTCTATTTAGCTTTTTTATATTTATAGCGAAAATGTTCCCAGCTCCTGACGCTCATCTTAAACAACTGTACACGAAAAAAAAAACTGTACATGACTGAGATAACAAAGGAGAATTAGAGGTTAAATGCATATCAAACTCTACTCCTAGAACAAAAGTTAAACAGGAAAAAAACTAACTCATTTAGAGTTAATTTCTGTAGTAAAAAAGAGCTCCTACAAATAATAATAATAATAATAATAATAATAGTAATAATAATAAAGCTATAAAAAAGAATGGGCAAAGGCCAGGAACTGGTAATACAGATGAAAGAAAATTCAAATTACTGTTTTGTTTTGTTTTGTTTTTTTTAAGATTTTATTATTTTAGAGAGAGACAGAGCATGAGTCAAGGGGGAAGTGGAGGGAGGGAGGGAGAGAGGGGGAAAGAATCTCAAGCCAACTCTGTGCTAAGAGCACAGTCCAACATGGGGCCCAATCTCAGGAC